AGGTTCCATTTCTAATTCTAGTTATCTTGCTATTTCCACCTGCAGTTACTTTGTCCACTGAAGTCTTGAACCCCTCAAAGTCATCCATCAGGGTTGAGGTCAGTCTTCCAAACTCCTGTTGATATTCTGACCTTCTCCCATGAATTGCAAATGTCCTTCATGGCATCTAGAATGATGAATCCTTTCCAGGTTTTCAAGTTACTTTGTATAGAAGAATCACTATGGCAGCCACAGCCTTACAAAATGTATTCCTTAAATAATACTTGAAAGTCAAAATTACTCCTTGAACCATGGAGTAATGGATCCTGCAGAATGGATGTTGTTTAGCAGACGTGAAAACATTAATCTCTTTGTACATCTCCATCAGAACTCTTGGGTGACCAGATGCATTATCAATGTGCAGTAAAATTTTGAACGAATTTTTTTTTTTTTTAGACAGTCTCATTCTGTCACCCAGGCTGAAGCACAGTGGTGCAACCTCAGGTCACCACAACCTCTGCCTCGCGGGTTCAAGCAATTCTCCTGTCTCAGCCTCCCAAGTAGCTGGGATTACAGGCACGCACCACCACATCCAGCTAATTTTTGTATTTTTAGTAGAGACAGGGTTTCACCATGTTGGTCAGGCTGCTCTTGAACTCCTGACCTCAAGTGACCTGCCTGCCTTGTTCTCCCACAGTGCTGGGATTACAGGCGTTTGAGCCACTGCACCTGACAGAAATTGTTTTTCCTAATATTTAATAGGTCTCAACAGTTGGCTTAAAATGTTCAGTAAACCATGCTGTAAATAGATGTGCTGTCATCCAGGCTTTGTTCTTCCATTTCTAGAGCACACGCAGAGGGATTTCGTGTAATTCTCATAGGCCCTAGGATTTTCTGAATGGTAAATGAGCGTTGGCTTCAACTGAAAGTTACCAGCTGCACGAACCCCTAACAAGAGAGTTGAGCAGTTCTTTGACACTTTTAAGCCAGGGATTAACTTCTCCTCTCCATGAAAGTCCTAGACGGTTTCTTCTTCCAAAACAAGGCTGTCTGATCTATATTGAAAATCTCGTTTGGTGTAGCAACTTCATCAATTAACTTAGCTAGATCTGGATAAATTGCTACAGCTTCTACACCAGCACTTGCTGCTTCGCCTTGCACTTTTATGATGACTTCTTAAACCTCATGAACCAACCTCTGCTAGCTTCAAACTTTTCTTCTGCAGCTTCCTCACTTCTCTCAGCTTTCATACAATGGAAGTTACAGCCTTGCTCTGGATTAGGCTTTGGCTTAAGGGAATTTGTGGTTGGTTTGATCTACTATGCAGACCACTAAAACTTTCTCCATATCAGTAATAATGCTGTTTCACTTTTTTCGGTTTCATTCTGTCACACAGGCTAGAGTGCGGTGGCACAATCATAGCTCACTGCAGCCTCGAACTCCTTGGCTAAAGGGATCCTCTCACTTCAGCCTCCCAAGTACATCAGACTACAGGCATGCACGATGACACCCAGCTAAATTTTTAATTTTTTGTAGAGACAGGGGTCTCACTATGTGGCCCAAGCTGGTCTCAGACTCCTGGCTTCAGGGGATCCTCCCACTTTGGCTCCCCAAAGTGCTGGGATTCTAGGTGTCAGCCACTGCCTGCACCCGGCCACTTTATTATCGTTCATGTGTTCCCTGGAGTAGTACTTTTCATTTCCTTCAAGAACTTTTCCTTTGCATTCACAACTTGACTGTTTGGCAGAAGCAGTCTAGCTTTTGGCCTATCTCAGCTTTTGACATTAGCCTTCCTCACTAAGCTGACTTTTTCACTTAAACACTAGGAGGCATTTGTAGGGTTATCAATTGGTCTAATTTCAACACTGTTGTGTCTGAGAGAATAGTGAGGTCTGAGGAGAAGGAGAGACATGGGGAACCATCAGTTAGTGGAGTAATCAGAACACACACGCACATCAACTAAGCTGACTGTCTTACATGGATGCAGTTTGTGGCACCCCAAAACAATTACAATAGAAACATAAAAGATCACTGATCATCAAGACGCATATAATGAAAAGTTTGAAATATTGTAAGTTACCAAAACATGACACAGAAAAATGAAGTGAGCACATGCTGTCGAAAAAAAAATTGCCCTGATAGTCTTGCTCAACACAGGCTTGCCACAAAACTTCAGTTTGTAAAAAATGCAATATCCGCAAAACACAATAAAACAAAGTGCAATAAAATGAGGTATGCCTGTACTTCGATAATCACTAATTCATTATATTTTAGAAACAAACATCTGTTTTACACAAGAAATAGGTGGCAAAGGTGGAGGGTGTTGGACAATTGGCAGGTAGCACTTGGGACTGGATTCCTGAGATGAGACAGAATGAGAGCAGTAGCAGAATAAAGGAGACAGGATAGAGACGGAACTACCTTTTATACTTTCTCAGCTGTGCCACTAATGCTTACCTCTCTGTGCTTTCTTTATAATTTTGTATATAATATGTATATTTCTAAATAGTACCTTATTTTAGATTTTTAAAAATTTCAGCAAATCATGTTACAGGCCAGGCGCAGTGGCTCATGCCTGTAATCCCAACACTTTGGGAGGCTAAGGCGGGTGGATCACTTGAGGCCAAGAGCTCAAGACCAGCCTGGCCAACATGGTGAAACCCCGTCTCTACTAAAAATTTAAAAATAAGCTGGGAGTGGTGGCACACACCTGTAATCTGAGCTACTTGGGAGGCTGAGGCAAGAGAATCACTTGAACCCGAGAGGTGGAGGTTGCAGTGAGCCAAGATTGCACCACTGCACTCCAGGCTGGGCAACAGAGCAAGATTCCATCTTAAAAAATAGTAATAATACTATTATAGTGTAGGGTGTTTTTGTTTTTGTTTTTTCAACTTGGGTTTGGGGAGTTTGTTTTTTGCTTTGTTCTGTTTGATGATCATTGTATATAATATCTGGTAGTATAAAACCCCCTTGTTCTTCAAAATTGGGTTAGCTACTCTGTGTCCTTTGCCTCTCTATACACAGGCCCCTCTGGAATTTTGATATTGTTTTTATGAATTCATTTGATAAAAATTGAAATCTTGACGAAACTAATATTTCCTACCCATGAATATAGTGCATCCTTCTGTCATTTAGGTCACTTTCAATGCCTATAATGGGTATCTGATATTTTACAGCTGCCCAACATATTTTGAAAACCCCTTCCCCATTTTCAGACTTCTCCATATTATGACTATCTTCCCAGGCAGAATCCAAAAACTGTATTTCCCAGAAGCCCCTGCAACTTGGACATACATATATAACCAACTCCCACTGAGCAGGTACACCCTAGCTGAAGACAGAAGAACCTCCAAAATGATTGTAGGGATATTTTTACTACAGAATGTGAAACGACCTTCCTGGTAGTCCAGTCTCTGTCTTCAATGGGGGTGGCAGTCCAGTAGCAGGCACCAGCAGCTGCTGAGTTTCCACTGGAACCAGTTGGTTCTGTGGTTGGTCATTTTTCCTGGCTTCTGCCTATGTGGCATCCCAGCTTAGCTCCTCTTAGACATTTTGTAAGCTAATTAATAGTATGCAGCAAATCTAAGGTGGATTCTTCAGTCTACTACTGATCACTGACACAGAATGAGGAACCAGAAGTGGGTTACTGAGTGTGACAGAACCTTAAAACAGTAGCACTATTTAGTGGAAGTGACTGAGAATACGGTGGTGAAGAATCAGATACTGCAAGCTGAAAAGTAGATGGGTGAAACGAAGTGGCCACAGCTCTTCTGGACTCAAGTTGGCTCCATATGTTCTCATTCTGGCACGGGGCTGAAGGCACAGCCACTTTCTGGAGCTTGCTGTTCTCTCGCAGAAGGCAGAAACAACCATCAGCTGAGCATGAGAACTGAGAGGGATGTTTTGGAAGTTAAAGAAGAGAGGAAGTATAAAGTGGTGGCCTAGGAAAGCAGGGGAGTTAAATGGACTCCAAAAAGTGTAGTATGACCATCAGGAAACATTAAGGGCCTCCATGAAGTTACTGGTCATGAATTTAAAGTGACAATTCAGCATGGTAGTAGGCTTTCTCTTGATCACTTCTGGTGCAGGAACAGAGAAGGCAAAGAACTGTATTTAGTCAGAGATGAGGTTTTGCCAAGCGAGCATGACAAAGCAAGAGAAGGGCAAGGGAGTTAAGGAAGACTGTAAAGGAATTATTTTAAGAATTGACCATAGAGTTTAAGCTGGGTAAAGGAGGAGGGGTGGGCATTTTCTGTTTGAAGCATATCTCTTAAAGTATGGTCCATGCTAAAGATCTGGCCATCACCACAGATATCCAAAATCAGAATTTCTGCAAGACAGAAAACTCTTCTTTTTACAAGCACATCACATAATTCAGGCACATGGTAAAGTTTAAAAACCAATAATGTAAAGGTTTTGCTATTAACTGTTACAGAGAAACATCTAGATAGCAACAGTAGCACAAAAGAAAAAAATGTATGGACCCTTCCATCAATGCTTAGGACTTAATGTTTACATTAATGCCAATAAATGCATAATTCAAGTTCTTTTCCCAGTAACTACTTCACACAGTCCTCTGAATGGTTGTAAAGGATCCTCATCAAAGCCACTTCCAAGAGCAATCCCAAATTCCACTTCACTAACCTACCACATAAGCCTAGCCACTGACCCACTAAACAGCTCCCTTTATTTCTAAAGAACAATTTTGGAGGCTTATTCAGATTCCCCTCGAGTTGGCTTTACACCATTACTTTTATTTCTTTAGTAATTCATCAAATTCATATTTACAGTTCATAAATATGAAATAAAATATAGAAGCCAGTGCTCACAAAGAAAAAAAAAACAATGCTCATCAAGAAAAATCTACAAAACACATGCAACAAAGATGAATGAATGCCTTTGTGTATATTTACTTAGGAAATAAAAGTTAAAAGAAACATCTAGCTATCAAGAGCAAAACTAAAGAAAAAAACTTCATGTTTACAGACATGATTGCTCTCACTGCCATCAACATATACTTCTTTTTTTTACTGTTTATTTCACACTATCTTTTGCATAGATGTACGAGATTCTCAAAGATGTGTGCCAAGGGCAACATAACTTCAACTGTATTAATACCTCACCTAGCCATGGGCCCACTAAACAATCTCCATTAATCTCTACGGTCCATTGTTGGAAGCTTATTCCAATTCTCTACCAGTAGCCACAGGTCTTGTACATTTCTCCCAGGCTGCTTATCTCTAATCATAATGGCCTAATACAGGGATATCCTCTTTTCCAAACTTTCCTAACACCAAAGTGTTCTACCACCAGCAACCCCACGATGCAGATACAGCCACTGTTGTTCAAGCCTGAAAGGGACTAAAGCAAAGGTTCAGTATTTCCATTTTCTACCCAGAAGAGATTATATAAGCATGGTCTTTAAATGTATATAGATGATAATGGAATTTATGTTGAAACAGCTGTAACACATGTAAGGTGAGGAAAAAAATACGAATGAAACTCAAATTAGGTTGGAGGTCGGGCACAGTGGCTCACTTCTGTAATCCCAGCACTTTGGGGGACCAAGACAGGCAGATCACTTGAGGTCAGGTGTTTGAGACCAGCCTGGCCAACATGGCAAAACCCTGTCTCTTCTAAAAATACAAAAATTAGCTGGGGGTGGTGATGTGTGCCTGTAAACCCAGCTATTCGGGAATCTGAAGGAAGAGAATCGCTTGAACCCAGGAGGTGGAGACTGCAGTGAGCCAAGATCACACCGCTGCACTCCAGCCTGGGTGACAGAGCAAGACCCTGTCTCAAAAAAAAAAAAATTAGGTTGGAGATTTACTGGGCATAAGAACCATAAGACTGCCAAGATAAAGCTCATGAGGAGTGAGAAGAAGGGGTGAGAATTACTGGGGAAGGTTTCACAGTGGGAGTAAGATCCTGGAAGACACGCACTATTTGGGCAGACGAAGAAGGTATTCCAGATGTAGGCAGCAGCATGAACAAATTCCCAGAGGTAGGAATGAGCACAGCATGTGGAAAGGTCAGTGAAGGCACAGCCACAGCTGGAGCAGAACAGGATCCCTGGAGAAGAACAGGAGGTAAGGCTGGAGAGGGGCACTGGGGACTGACTAGGGATGGCCCAAGAACCTTGACCGGCTTCTTTTCCACAGGGTGCAATTTCTGATGCTGAACAAAACTTCCATACCATTTGAAGGCTTTCCCACACACCTTACATTCATAAGGCTTCTCCCCAGTGTGAACTCTCTGATGCTGAATGGAGGCTATTTTCTGAGTGAAGGCTTTGCCGCACTCCTTACACTGGTAAGGTTTCTCCCCAGTATGAATTCTCTGATGGACAATAAAAAGTGACCTACAACCGAAAGCTTTCCAACATTCCTTGCATTTATAGAGTTTCTCTCCCGTGTGTAATCTCTGATGCTGCAGGTAGGCCGCACTCCTACGGAAAGCCTTCCCACACTCTTTACATTCATAGGGTTTCTCTCCAGTGTGGATCCTCTGATGCTGAGTCAAGGCTGTGTTGGAACTCAAACCTTTGCCACACTCCTTACATTCATAGGGCCCTTCTCCAATGTGGTTTTTCTCATGTACAATACAGTCATAGCTGGACTTGAAAGCTTTGCCACACTCCTTACACTTAAAGGGCTTTTCCCCAGTGTGACTCATCTGATGCCGAATGAGCTTTGAGTTATATCGGAAGATTTTCCCACATTCTTTACATTCATAGAACTTCATTCCACCTCGAAGTATCAGGTTTGGATTTAGATTGAAAGTCTGCTGCATTGCCTTGCTTTTAAAATCAAAGTGCTGAGAAACGTTCCTGAGAAGTCCTCCTACCGGCATTCTGTGCAACTCTGTTTCTTCAGAGGCTTCCTGCTTTATAACTGGCCCTTCATTTTTGATCCAGGACTCACCACCTGACCAAAGAAACCACAAGGGTTCCTAGTTACAAAACTGGGAGAAAAGTAGGATCCAGTGTTCCTAATTTTCTCTTGCAGAATGTAATTTTTAAAAACATACCTGTGAAATGGTTATATACAAGCATCTATAAAGGAGGATGAGAGAGACAAAGAAAAATAATGACAGGCCAGGTGTGGTGGCTCATGCCTGTAATATCGGCACTTTGGGAGGCTGAGGCAGGCGGATGGCTTGAGCTCAGGAATTCGAGACCAGCCTGGGCAACTTGGCGAAACCCAGTCTCCACAAAAAAATACAAAAATTAGCCAGGTGTGGTGGTGCACATCTGTGGTCCTAGCTACTAGGGAGGCTGAGGTGGGAGGATCACTTGAGCCCAGGAGGCAGAGGTTGCAGTGAGTGGAGATTATGCTACTGCACTTCAGCCTGGGTAGCAGAGCTAGACCCTGTCTCAAAAAAAAAAATAGAAAAATAATGACATAGAATTGGAGAAGTAAAGACACAGAAACAGAACAGGAAAGATAGCCAAGAAGTGCTCCCCATGAGGAAGGCTGGAAAACTGAACTAACGTAGGTGAAATGGGAAGAAGGAGAATCAAGAATGAGAAGGAAAGAAGGCAGGAGGGACAAGAAAGAAAAAAGAAGGAGAGAATAAGAAAGAACAGCAAGAAATGGGAAAATTTTTTAAAGAGAGACAGAAACCCAGAAGAGAAGAAAGGAATGAGAGACTGGGAAGAATGGAGAAGCAGCTCCAACACTAGAAGAGGTCTTGCAGACTGAGAAACACAAACCAGGAAAAAAATGGATCCCAATGTCCTACCCGTAACCCAGGCAATCACCCCAAATTCTAAACAATATCCTAGTTATCCTATATTTAAATATTCCACACAATATTCTGGGATAGAAGATGATTAGTTTCAGAAAGTCAGCTGGAACAGAAGTTGGATCAGAGAGCTGTAAGCCACTGTGGTACCACTGCTAAAGGAACCACTATATACAAAAGCATGTATGCGTGAGAAGGCTTGAAATTTTCTTCCAAAAAAACGGAAACGCAAGTAACCAAAACCTTCCAGGACTGGTAAGTCATCTCAGGGAAATTTTAGGTGGCGTGTGTGTGCACATGTGCATGTGTGCATGTGTGTGTGTGTGTAGGGGGCTATGATGGGAGAATATTCCTAGCCCTTTCATCTATAGTCCCATCTATGGTAAATATAATGTAGATCTAAAGATTATGGCAAATGAAACTCTTAAGTGATTTAGATACTAAAAAGGCCAATTAAAGCCATTCTTTTCAGGGCTGAAGGCCTAAAGTAAAATGTATAGCTATAGCACAAATAAGTCAGTTTGGCCCAAAAAAAATCATATTTTCCTTAAATTTGGCTGAAACCCCACTTCTTTGCAATGAAAAATGGCATACAATTAAAACTTCTCCACCGGTAAGTAAGAAAAAAGTGGTTTAGGAGCTACTGGGTTACAGCTTTTCTGCCTCGGAGGACAGCCACATGAATGTGCAGACAGCGCGAGGCCATGTACTCCTACAGGCGGTCTTTCGAAGCTCAGGGTCAGAACTCAGTGTGAGTTCTGAGAGTGCAGTGAGTATCGACTTATAAATAACTGGGAGCTTTGTTCCCTGAAGCATAAGAAACACTTCTTACCTAGTAAACCAGGAAGGCAAAACAAGAAACTTAACCACTGGATTCTCATACTCACCTTGACTGATGCCTCTCGGAATCTCGGTGTCCCAGGGATCTGGGCCCCATGGTGCTTCCCCTCTCTCCAGGTGGGAGATCAGAGCAGGTTTGGGGAATGGAAACGCTACTTTATGAAGAAAAGAGAAAGACAAATCGAGGGGAGATGTCTAGAGCTATTCCTGGGATCTTTCTCAGCCCACCCTCCATCAGGCTACCTGGGAGAGAATTGGAACATCAGCAGACCAAGTGAGAGTTCCGACAAGGAGGTCCAAACTGTGCTCCACGATAAAGCCAAGGAGGTATGATTCTCCTCAGAAAGAAGCTGCAATCTGGCCCTGACTCAGAAGAAGGGAAACTCCCTCAGGAAAAATGTACCTACTGCTCCCCTGGGAGACCCTTCCACAAAGGGAGGGCCAATATCCCCAGAAAACTGGATAGACAAAGGAACAAAGGGCTCACCTAGGGTGCCAGAAAGAATGCTTTCCCTCAGGGCCTGGGACCACACTGTTCCTGGAGTATAAGGAAGTCTAATTTCAAAACCAAAGGGAAGCCAGGCACAGTGGCACACGTCTATAGTCCCAGCTACTTGGGAGGCTGAAGCAGGAGAATTGCTTGAGCCCAGGAGTTTGAGGCTGCAGTGAGCCATGGCCATGCCACTGCCCTCCAGCCTAGATGACAGAGCAAGACCCTGTCTCAAAATAAACAAAAAAGCAAAAAACAAACAAAAACAAAGAAACCCAGGGATTTCCCTACCCAGTATTTCTGGAGGCTGGTGATTGCAAAACTCTCCTCTGAAGTCATCAAACCCAAGGGCTACTAGAATCCCCAAAACATCTGAGGAAGATAGCAAACTGTTACAAAGAGCCACAGAGGGAGGGAGGCCTTACCCAGGGAAGCCACATTTGCATAATTCTCCAGCATCACCTCCCCGTATAGGGCCCTCTGCGCAGGGTCGAGGCTGGCCCATTGATTCTGGGTGAAGTAAACAGCCACATCCTCAAAGGTCACTGACTCCTGAAACAACAGGTTCCTGCTCAATCTCTGAGTGAGGAGTAGAAGGAAGAAGGGAGCAGCTTGAGCTTCAGGGAAGGGATAAACCTGCCTGCACCCACAACTCTGAGCCCCACGGAAGATCTGCTCAAACAAGAGCATCCACCACCACAGCCGGGGCGAGCCCTCAGCCAGTAGTTCCACTTTCAAACGGGGAACACTCTCCCATCTACTCTCCCAACACTCTCCCATCTACTCAGCTCTGGAGCCCCTAGCTGCTACTGATTCTTATAGCCTGGCATCCAGTTGCTTTCTCCCTGGTAACAGCATCAACTCCTAGGTTCCTAGCTTCACAGATCTGTCCCCCTGGCACCTCCTACCCTCAGGTACTCCATAATCCTCTCTCCTTATTTTCTATACACCAACCACTACAGACAGCGGCTACCCTGTGATATGATATGGCTGTGTCCCCACCCAAATCTCACCTTGAATTACCACATGTGGGAGGGAGCTGGTGAGAGATAATTGAATCATGGGGGCAAGTCTTTCCCATGCTGTTCTCGTGACAGTGAGTAAGTCTCACGAGATCTGATGGTTTTAAAAAGAGGAGTTCCCCTGCCCAAACTCTCTCATTTTTCTCTTGCCGCCACAATGTAAGAAGGGTCTATCACCTCCCACCATGACTCTGAGGCCTCCCCTGCCATGTGGAACTGTAAGTCCAATTAAACCTGTTTTTCTTCCCAGTCTCAGGTATGTCTTTATCAGCAGCGTGAAAATGAACTAATACACCCTGTATCCACCCATCCAAGGGGCACATGCACAGCCCCCATCTGCTCCCTGTACCTAGCTTCTCTTTGGTTCTCCCCAACACTGTCTACAATGTAGAGAGAAGCATGTTAGAAATATCACCAGTATTTTGCAAATTTCTCTTTTCCACCTTTCTGCCTTATCAGAAAGCTGGCTCTCTTGAAAGAAACCTTTAGCCTGCCCGTTCTGACCCTCTTCTCTGAACCACCGGTCTTGAAAGACAAGCTGGCAGTGCCAGGTCCCTGGGCACAGATCTGTCCCCCAGTTTTCTGAGCTCCATCACATCCACCAAGGCTGTCGCTTCACTAGGTGTTCCCCTCTCTGACTCCCTCCCCTGGGGCTATCTCCATCTTCCCAAGAATGAAGAAAACTATACTTGTTGATTAGCCCTGTGCACCAGGCCCCTAGGTTGGTTATTTTATTTATTTATTTATTTATTTATTTATTTATTTATTTTAATTATTTTTTTGAGACGGAGTCTTGCTCTGTCACCTAGGCAGGCTGGAGTGCAGTGGTGCAATCTCGGCTCACTGCAATCTCTGCCTCCCAAATTCAAGTGATCCTCTAGCCTTAGTCTCCCAAGTAGCTGGGATTATAGGCACACACCACCATGCCAGGCTAATTTTTGTATTTTTAGTAGAGATGGGATTTCAACATGTTGGCCAGGCTAGTCTCAAACTCCTGACCTCTGGTGATTTGTCTGCCTCAGCTCACCAAAGTGCTGGGATTACAGGCATGAGCTACCAAGCCCGGCCTTTTTTTTTTTTTTTTTTTTTTAAACAGGGTTCACCATATTGCGCAGGCTGATCTCAAACTCCTAGGTTCAAGCAATCCACTTGCCTCGGTCTCTCAAAGTGCTAGGATTACAGGTGTGAGCCACCACGCCCAGCCAAGGTTGGTAATTTTACATCTTGTTTTTCATTTAATCATTACAAAACATATGTGAAATAAGAATTACTATTCCCATTTTTCAAATGATGAAACTTAGATTCAAAAGTTCAATTACTTTGCTGAAGATCACATAGCCAGGAAGCGGTAGAACGGGAACTTCAATACAGATCTGCCAGACAACACACGTGGGCTCTACTAACACACCAAGCTGTCTCCCACACTGGGCTCACAAACTTCCCCAAAAACATGGCTAACCCCTGAACCTGGTGCTGCCCTATCTTTGGAGAATAGCTTCTCAAACTCCTCAACTCCAAAAATCACCATTCAAACCATCTTTAGTGTACTCCCTCCAGGCCATATGGGCCCCCTCCCCCAATTTAAATTGGGGGTCATCTATTTCAAAACTACACACACCACCCTGGAAGCCCAAGCCTCTGAACCTTCCATGAGGCCCCAGAGCAGTTCCAGATGGTGCCCACTGGCTACTTTCTCTGGTTTTTTTTTTTTTTTTTTTTTTTTTTAGCAGAATCTCGCTCTGTTGCCCAGGCTGGAGTGAGGTGTTGTGATCTCGGCTCACTGCAACCTCTGCCCCCTGGGTTCAAGTGATTCTCCTGCCTCAGCTTCCTAGGTAGCTGGGATAATAGGCACCAACCACCACACCTAGCTAATTTTTGTATTTTTAGTAGAGACAGGGTTTCACCATTTTGGCTAGGCTGGTCTTGAACTCCTGACCTTAGGTGATCCACCTGAAAGTGGACCCCAAAGTGCTAGGATTACAGGCGTGAGCCACTGCACCCGGCCTTTCTCTTCTTCTAGAGTTCAGCATACTGCAAACCACAGAGACTAGACTCTCAGCTTGGAGGAGGTTTCATGACCTGTACGCTTTCTCACCTTGATGCTCCCACAGATGATTCCACCTCCCAGAAGAGTCTCATTACGCTATGCAGTCAGCCTTGTTCTTTTCAGATGCTGAAAATAAAATACCCACCAACAGAGGCACAGTCAAGCTCCTAACTCTTGCACGCACATTCTACATTCTGTCTCCTGGGAGCCCTTAAAGCAGCATATGGACTGGAGTGGGCACAGGGGAATAGAGAAAAAGGATTATGACTGTAACTGGTCTCGAAGGAAGGAGGGAAGAACTGTACATCAAGGATAAATTCTGGCAACTCAAACTGCTTAGAGCAGCTCTGCTGGCTCTGCACGCAGGTCCTTATGAGACAGTGTCTTTTCAAACAAGAGCAAGTAGAGAACTCAGCTCTAAAAGATGCTGAAAGGAAAAAATAAAATAAACGCAGACACTCCTCAAAGGGAGAGCCAGTCTTTAAACTGAGCAATGGTGAGGTCCAAAGGGCCCCCAAAATAATGTGAGCCAAAAGCCCAAACAGCAGACTGGATCATGTTGTCCTGTATACAATTACTGTACTGCTTCAACAAGCCATTAAGGGCTTCTGAGGACAGTAACCACAGGCTCACAGATAAAACCAAATTTCACCTCCACTTACAGCAAGTCAAACCTCACACCCTGACATCTCCAGAGCTTCTCTCACAACTTTCTCATCTCTTCTTCCACAAACTGTCTGCCTCTCCTACCATCTACTATCCTCAAATTTCATGAGCCCTAGAAAATGCCTAATATTAAGGAAAAAACATTGTTTTAAGGCAGTTGGGTTTGGGATATCTTTTTGTTCTTCCTGTGGATGGTCCCTATGTACCTCACCTTATTTCATTTTTCTCCACAGTATTATTCATCTTGTCATATGATATGGTTTATCATCTATCTCCGCCCACCAGAATGTAACTCCATGAGGCAAGAATCGTTTGTTCATGATTGGTTTACTAGCACACAGTAGAGTGCCTAACATGTACCAGACGCTTAATATATATTTCCTAAGAGTTTATTTCAAAAACGGTTACCCATTAAAAAAAATTGTTTTAACTTATGAAGAGAGTAAGAAACCAACAGCAAACACCATCTAAACAGTAAAATGCTACAATAAATCCATTAAAGTTGATAGTTGACAATTTACCATAAGCTGAGGTTTTACTTTCTGCAAAAGATGGGAAAGGAGCACATATATAGGACAGGAATGAACATAAATATCTCTGCTTGCAGATGAAATAACTATCTGCCTAAAGACATCTAAGTACCAAGAAAACAAACTGAAAACATTTAGAGCTGATAAAACAATTCACTAAATTATCTAGATATAGAATAAGTAAACCAAAATTATTAGCTTTCCTAAGTACCATCATAAACAACTGGAAGATACACTGAAAGAAACTAAGATGCCATTCACACAAAATATTGCTAAGAATGGACCTAAGAGAAATCAGTGAGAACAGGATGGAAGAACACTAAATGTTTACTAAGATACATTTAAAAAGAACTGAATAAATTGGAACTTATGGTGTTTCTGAACAGGAAGAATCAAACCTGTAAAGATGTCAATTATCTCCAAATTTACTCATGAATTCAATAAAATCCACTCCCCTACCAAAAAAAATCCATGAAATTTGTGCAGGAGTGGGAGATCATTTAAAGTCATCTAGAAAAGCATGCGTGAAAAACTAGCAAACAATGTTTTGGAGAAAACAATTGAAAGAAAAAAATGAGGGGGAATTAAACTTTATTTTAAAAGGATAACACATTAAGAATATGAGAAGACATACTAAAGTGTGGGAGAAAATATTTGCAGAAGACATATCTGATAAAGCACTATTATCCAAAATATACAAAGAACTCTTTATGAACAAGCCAATTAAGAAATAGGCAAAAAACCTCAACAGACACCTCAACAAAGCAAATATACAGATAGCAAATAGGCATATGAAACTATGTTCAAGATTATATGTCATTAGGGAACCGCAATGAAAACAATGAGATACCACTATATACCTATTAGAAAAGCCAAAATCCAAAACACTGACACCACCAAATGCTGGCCAGGATGTGAAACGACAGAATGCTCATTCATTGCTGGTAGGAATGAATGCAAAATGGGACAGCCACTTTGGAAGAGAGTTTGTCAATTTCTTACAAACTAAACACACTCTTACCATACAACCCAGCAGTCATGCTCCTTGTTACTTAACTAAAGGAGTCGAAAACTTCTGTCCACACAAAAACCTGTAGGTGGACATTTATAGGGGCTTTTTTTCATTATCGCCAAAACTTGGAACCAACCAAGGTGTCGTTCAGTAGGTGAATGGATAAGCTGTAGTATATATAGACAATGGAATATTATTCGGCACTAAAACAAAATGATCTATCAGTCATGAAAACACATAGAGGAAATGAAATGCATTATCACTAAGTGAAAGAAGCCAATCTGAAAATGCTACATACTGTATGATTCTGGCTATATGACATTTTGGAACTGGCAAAACTATGAAGAGAATACAAAAACCAACTGATGGTTGTCAACTGGGACGGGACTAAGGGGAAAAGTAAGGATGGATAAGAGAAGCATAAGGTATTTTTAGGGCAGTGAAACTATTCTGCATAATACTATAATAGTGGATACATGTCATCATCAAGAGTGAACCCTAATGTAAACTATCGACTTTGAATGACACTGATGTGTCAGTATAGGTTCACTCCCTGTAACAAAAGTGTTACTCTGATGTGGAATATTAATATTGAAGAAGGTTGTGCGTTTTGTGGTGGCAGGAGATAAATGGGAACTCTTGCTTTCTGCCCAATTTTGTTATCAACTAAAACTGCTCTAAAAACTATTTTAAGTACCAGTGTTAAATGGTTTCATGGTAAGTTATTTCTCAATCAAACCTCATATGCTGTTTAGGACATATCGGAGAATAAGGAAAGAAAAAAAGGATTTCCATTCTTCTAAAGACACTGACATTGTACTACTGTGCTGATACCAGACTTGTATTTGAACTTCTATCAGAACTTGTATATACATGTGTAGGGGCAGGGAATACACGGGAAATCTCTGTACCTTCCATTTAATTTTGCTGTGAACCGAAAACTGCTCCAGAAAATAAAAACTATAAATAAATTAATTAAATTAAAAAGTAAAATGCAGCCTGGCCAACATGGTGAAACCCCTTCTCTACTAAAAATACAAAATTAGCAAGCGTGGTGGCACATGCCTGTAATCCCAGCTACTTGGGAGGCTGAGGCAGGAGAATTGCCTGAACCCGGGAGGCGGAGGTTGTGGTGAGCCAAGATGACACCATTGCACTACAGCCTAGGTGACAAGAGCGAAACTCTGTCTCAAAAAAAAAAAAAAAAGGAAAACACTTAATATCTTACCTGACCGTAGTATCTTCTTAATTGACCAACACCTTTCTACAGAATTTGCCACTAAGGGCTGGGAAGATCCTTTTAATATATAAATCCAACTCTGTCACTCTGTCATCTCCCTGCCTAAAATTCTTCAGTGCCTTCCCAATGAACCAGTACAGAAACCACTGTCCTCACCATGACCTATAATACAGGTATCTATTTCTTCCATCTCATATTGAACCACTTTCTCTGACCCCTTCCGGTTTTTAGAGTACATCCAGCCTTCCCTTCAACTTCACAGTCCTTGCATCTAGCATTTAGAAAATGTATATTTAAGTAACAATCCTAGTCTCTCTGGGATACATGCAATACAATTCGTGGGCAATCTCTCCAATAAAGAATTTCTGATTTCAGGCTGGAGTGGTGGTTTACACCTATAATCCCAGCACTTTGGGAAGCCGAAGTGGGCGGATCACCTGAACTCAGGAGTTCGAGACCAGCCTGGCCAACGTGGTGTAAACCCCGTCTCTAGTAAAAAGACAAAAATTAGCTGCACATGGCAGCGCACACCTGTAATCCCTGCTACTCAGGAGGCTGAGGTATGAGAATCACTTGAACTCGGGAGGCAGAGGCTGCAGTGAGCCGAGATCATAGCAGCACTCCAGCCTGGCGGCAGGGTGAGACTCCGTGTCAAAAAAAAAAAAAAAAAAGTCTGATTTCAGCAGGTAACTTTCACTTCTAGAACATGATCTCAATTTCCAAATTCAGAAAGAATTCATTGGCATACGTCCCCTGTCTTTCATTTAAATCTATACATCCACTCTCTATACACAAAACTTTTATTTTCCCAGTACACATTTACATCTGCCATAGCCCTAGAGATAGATACAAAGGGGAAAACACAGCTTGGCCAAGTTAGGCCTTCCTGATCCTTTCCTGATTATGTGATAGCTAAAGTGAGTTTAAAAAAAAAAAGACTTAAGCTCAGCTCACCTGAGGCCAAGTTGCTTGGAGCATGGCGGATGTCTCCCGGCTTCATGCACTGTCTTCTGGGTTTGGACAAGCAAGATCCTCAGGAGCTAAGAGAAAAACAGCCAGGAGTGCTAAGAACCCTGTTCTCCACCACCTACAGCAACCTATGGCCATCCCAGTTTCCACATTTCCAGCACTGGATGCAGGGAGATTCTACTAGGACTCCCTCTAATTGTTCTCACGCTGATAGCCCCAACCTTATGAGCTGTTCTGCCTGGTCTTCAGGACAATCTTCCACCTGCCTGCTCAGTCCGAAGAGCTTTTTTTGAGCCCATTCCCACGGGCAGACTGAGGGACCCAAGAGCCCTGTCCCTATTGTATTGGGTCTCTACAAACGTAGAGTCTTTACAGAATGATTATAGGCAAGATGACGCTGACCCGAAAGAAAGAACCTCAGGAGAAGAGGGACTGGAGTGGCTAAATGTGAATTAAGGGTAAAATACTCAGCGTCCCAGTGGGTGATGCTGACCGGAGACCCCACCCAACCGGGATCTTAACACTCCACCCAAGAAAGCAGGCGACCCCAAACATCAGAAACGTCAGTACCGGGAGCGAGAGGCTGTCAGGGCAAGTTCTTTAGGGCAGAAAAGAGTATCAGGCCTCGGTGGCAAAGGGCTGGACCCGGGCTGTAGAAGCCAGAGTAACCACCTTGGCGGCTTCGGCGAGGCCCAGATGCCCACGGTCCGGGTGAAGGAGGGGCGGGCCGCCATTGGGACCAAGTTCAGGGGAAGTGGGAGGTGACAAGCCGCCAGGGGCAGCGAGGAAGCCGGCACCGGGCGGACCTGGCATGTAGAACTCGCTGAAACCCACGCTCTGCCGAACACCGAGGGGCTGGTCACTAACTAAACGCCCAGCCGGAAGGGCGAGTGCGCGCCCAGGGCCCCTCTAGGCCCCCGGAGGCCGCCATCTCGGTCGCCCCGCGGCCAGACCCGCCCCGCCTCTCATGGCTGGCCCCGCCCGGCGGAAGAGGCGAGGTTGCGGCGACCGGCTGGGCTGAGAGGCCCGTGGCGGACCGGCAGTGTGGGGCTCTCAGCCCGGGCTTCTCCGGCAGCCGTCGGCATTGGGAGTGTCACCGACTGATGCAGCCTGGCTCTACCCATACCTCACCCTGTAGGCACAAGTGGGGCCCCAGTTCACTGGCAGCTGTTGGCCGCCTTCACCCCGTGGCTCACCTGAAGCCTGGGCCGTGCAGGTGAGGTGAGAATGGCGCCTGCTTTGTCATCTCTAAGAGGCCCAAGCCTAGGATCTTGCTTGGGTCCTCAGCTGGGCAGTCCTCAGGGAAACCATGGTTTCCACTTGCCCTTTTAGCCCTCTGCCTTCCAAGGACCTAGACGTGCATGGAACCTTTTAGGACAGATTCATTTAACAACCAAAACACCCTGGCGACGGTTGCCAGGCATCCTGTATATACAGGACATGTCCTATATTAAATGATCTTGTCCAGTGTTGACTTTGGCAGGACACCCTAAATGTCTTACATTTAGCTTTTTCCAATAAATTACAAAAACTCGTAGTGAGAGCTATTTTTCTGCTAACTGGCACTTAAATAACTTAAATGTTAACACCGGCTGAAATATATATATCTCATACTTCCACAAATAATGATCTGGACAGTCCTTTATGGTCTGTTCTGTAAGTTGGACTGCAGGAAGAAAAAACAGTGAAGAGGGGAGTCTGCTAATTAAAAGAACTTATTTTTCATATTCAGGGAAGGAAAAGACTGTTTTTTGACCAAAGTCCCAAGTCACTAACAAGTACTTGCCATTAATTTACATAATTTTAGATCAGTACACGTAACTCTGAAAATCAACCAATACACAACAGCGTCACTCCAAGCTTCTGAACATGAGCCAGTCAGCGATAAACACTTCCTGAAGCCAGCCAGTCAGTGGCAGCCCTCCCCAACTCATTGGCAAGTACCTCTCTACTGTGCCCTTCCTTCTGGACAGGAGCCTTTCTCCAGTATCAAAGTGGTGCCAAGATGGACAGATTTTGTTTTACCTCGATCACACTGATACTTCTCCTGAACACAGTTCCAGATACCAGGCTCCTCCCCACCAGGCATTTCCATGCTATAAAGGGGAATTGGTCTCCCACCACTAAAAGATAAAAAATGATCCTGGGTATCTAGATATATTGCTTTATTACAGGGGTCCCACTTCTTGGATTTGTTATTCCTTTCTTAAGAATTAGACTGACTTATGAAGTCCTATTATGGAGAGTATACTAGGTATCTACTGCTGCATAACAAATCACCCTAAAGCCTTATGGCTGAAAACAAAACACACTATCTCTTAAAGTTTCTATGAATCAGTGAACATAGGTCAGTCAGTCCTAAAAAGAGAAAAAGGAAAAAAAAATGGGTTCTGTGGATGAGGAATTCGGGAGTGGCTTGGCTGGATGGTACTGGCTTGGGATCTCTCATGAGGGTCTAGTCAGGTGTTACCTGGGACTGCAGTCACTTGAAAGTTGGACTGAGGCTGGGGATTTGCCTCAAAGGTAACTCACTCACATGGTTGGCACATAGGTGCCGGCTATTAGTGTGAAACTTCCCTTCTTGTGCTGGGTACAGTGGCTCAGACCTGTAATCCCAGCACTTTGGGAGGCCAAGGCAGGCAGATCACCTGAGGTCAGGAGTTTGAGGCCACCCTGGCCAACATGGCAAAACCCCATCTCTTCTAAAAATACAAAAATTAGCTGGGCGTGGTGGCACACACCTGTAATCCCTCCTACTTGGGAGCCTGAGGCAGGAGAATCGCTTGAACCTCGGAGGCAGAGGTTGTAATGAGCCAAGATCCCGCCACTGCACTCCAGCCCAGGGGATAGAGTGAGACTCTATCTCAAAAAAAAAAAAAAAAACCTCCCTTCCCACACCAGGTATCTGTATATGGCTGAGTATCCTCACAACACAGCATCAGACTTCCACTTCCACCTCAGGTGAGCAGCCCAAGAGGTCAAGGCAGAAGTGGCAATATCATTTATGTCCTAGCTTTGGAAGTCACCTGCTGTCATTTCCTCAGTATACTATCATCACAGGCCAGTCATGATTCAGTGTTGGATGAGATACACAAGGGTGTGAATGCCAGAATGAGAATCACTGGGGACCATTTCGGGAGCTGGCTAAACACATTTTTTACCTACCACAGAAACGGTCCTTTTTATAATACTTTTATTGTAACATTTATGAAGAGCAATTGTTTTAAATAGATGAATTAGATTTCCAAGAATAATAGCATTAGAACATATATTTGCATACTGCCCCTTCTCTAAATCTATCAAAAAGAGTATCTACCGTGAATCTAGAGAAATGGACACACACATATGGGTGTACGTACATGTACACATTTATACACCACAAACTCTAAAGAGTATCAGACAGTCATTCCAATTAGTTCTAACTTGAACTAACTAGAAGGAACAAGATTGGACATGTAACTCCTCCATTTGGTATTATGGTGCAGGGAGAAGAGATGAGAGTTTTGGTAGGCAAGACAAAGTGCCTAAAATCCCCAGGTTGGAACCATGACAGGAATCATGAGCAGTCTGAGGAGAAAATTGGGACCATGCTACAAGAGGCCCATTCTTTTCCAGAACAGCTTCGACAGAAACAATCTGCTGCTTAGAGGAAGCTAAACAGACAGTGCTGCTTAGAGGAAGCTAAAGAGCAAAGTGAACCAAAAGATACGGGAAACTTTAGACTTTGCAACTGTGAGTCAGTTCACATAACAGCAAAATTAAAGTCTCTGAAGCTGAATGTCTCTCTCCTGATCAATGCCAGAGAGATGAGCTCTCCCTAAAAACACACCATCCCCACCCACTGCCACTACAATAAGGCAAAAAACAAAAAAGCATCCAGAATTAGAAAGGAAGAAGTAAAACTGTTATTTGCAAACATGATTCTCAATGTTAGAAAATCCTATGGAATCTATAAAATGTTACTAGAACTAATAAGGGAGTTGTGCCAGGTTGCAGGATATGCAGTTAATATATAAAAACCAATCATATTCCTATATGTCAGCAAAAACTAGAAATTCACTGTTTATTATTACAAGTATCATAAGTTATTCAGTACTTATGCATGAAAAAGATGAAATTTTTAGATGCATCCGGGGAAAAGTGTGAAAGATCTGCACAGTAAAAATTACAAAATATTGCTGAAGGAAATTAATATCTAAATAAATGGGGAGATCTACAATGTCCATGGGTCAAAAGACTCTATATAGTTGTCAGTTCTCCATAAATTGATCATTATATTCAATGCAATCCCAATCAAACTCCCAGGAGGTGTTTTATAGAAACTGAAAAACTGATTCTAAAATTCATATGCAAATGCAAAAGACCTCTAATGGCCAAAACACCCTGACAAAGAACAAAGGTAGAGAACTAACACTATATGACTTCAACGCTTACTAGATTTCAACACTTATTAGATAACTACAATAATAAAGGCAGTGCCTTAATGGCATCAAGACAGACAGATCAATGGAACAGCATCTAGAAATAGACCCACACATATATGGACTTCTGATTCACAATGGTACAGAGGCAATTCAGTGGGGGAACCTTTTTTCAAAAAATGGTGTTACAGACCAGGCAACAGTGGCACAGACTTGTAGTCCCAGCTTCTCAGGAGACTGAGGCAGGAGGATCACTTGAGACCAGGAATTCAAGGGTACAGTACACTATAATCATGCCTGTGAATAGCACTGCACTTCAGCTTGTGCAACACAGTGAGACCCATCTCAAAAAAAAAAAAAAAAATGGTGCTACAATAGGATACTTATATGAAGTAAAAAAAAAAAAAAAACTTAGTTCCATGCCTCAGACAAAAATTAACTCAATAGATGATATAATTAAATGTAAAACCTAAAACTATAAAACTTCTGGCCAGGCACGGTGGCTCACACCTGTAATCCCAGCACTTTGGGAGACCGAGGCGGGCAGATCACTTAAGGTCAGGATTTCGAGACCAGCCTGGCCAACATGGCAAAACTCCACCTCTACTAAAAATACAAAAATTAGTCGGGCGTGGTGGCACAGGCCTGTAATCCCAGCTACTCAGGAGGCTGAGGCAGGATAATTGCTTGAACCTAGGAGGTGGAAGTTGCAGATTGAGATCCTGTCACTCTGCCACTACACTCAAGCCTGGGCAACAGAGTGAGACTCTGTAAAAAAACAAACAAACAAAAAACAAAAAAAAACAACTATAGAACTTCTAAAAGGAAAACAGGAAAAAAATCTTTGCAAATGTGGGTAAAGCAAAGATGTCTTAGATTTGACACTGAAACCATGATCCATTCAAAAAATAACAGGCTAGGCACAGTGGCTCACACCTGTAATTCCAGCACTTTGGGAGGTCAAGGCAAGAGGCTTACTTGGGCCCAGAAGTTCAAGACCAGCCTGTGCAACATACTGAGACCCCATCTCTGTTTAAAAACAAATAAAATAAATAAACTGATAAATCAGATTTCATGCATACTAATGTCTTCTGCTCTTTAAAAGACACTGTCATCATGTGCACCTGTAATCCCAGCTACTTGGGAGGCTGAGGTGGGAGGATCACTTGAACCTGGGAGGCAGAGATTGCAGTAAGCCAAGATGGTGCCACTGCACTCCAGCCTGGGCAACAGAGTGAAATCCCATCTCAAAAAAGAAAAAAACAAAAAAACAAAAAAACACTGTTATGAGAATGAAAAGACAAACCACAGGCTAGAAGAAAATATTTTAAAATCACATATCTGAAAAAGACTTGTATCCACAATAAATAATGACCTCTCAAAGATTGATAAAACAAAACCCAATAAAAACATGGGCAAAAGATATGAGCAGACACTTCATCAAATAAGATATATAGAACACAAATAAGCACAACAGTCATTAGAGAAATGCAAATTAAAACCACAGTGGGATAGCATTAAAC